GGGCGGGCTGGGACAAGGCAGGATGCAGACTTTGAGGAATTCCTTGTTTCATTTGTCCTGAGTTGTTGGCCGGTCTGTGAGAGCACAAGGCTGCAGGGCCTTGGGGAGCAGAGAGGGAGCAGGCCACGGGTTTGCTGTTCCTAGGCTTGCACAAAAAAATTAAAAAAAAAAAAAAAAAAAAAAAAGAAAAAAAAAAAAAAGAGAGAGAGATGTCATGAAGGATGGTCTGTGTCACCCCATACTGCACCCGCTGGGTTCCCTGCACCCCCCTGACTGCATTGCGGTGCTGATGCTTGGAGGGTGAGGAGCTGGGGCTGACTGTGGGTCCTCGTTCTTGAGTGGCATGAGGTGCTTCTCTCCAAATCTGGCTTCTAAAACCTGCCTCTGTTCCCCACACAGGTCTTTCTTCCTGGCTCTCTTCAAGCACCTGATGTTGCTGGAGAAGAGAGGCTGTCCCCGGACAGCCCTGGAGTTCTGCAAGTTGATTCTGAGGTAGGTACCCCAGGTGAGGGCTGCGCCCTGTTCCTTGTGGGATGGGGCAGGGCATCTCAGGCTTGGGGGAACACGCTTCGAACAATGCACCGAACCTAACCCAGGCGGGAAGAAAACCCAGAGGTGTACTGCTGCTCCCAGGCTCAGTGAGGGCTCGTTTCCACTCCTTACAGAGGCAGTGTCACAGGTTAGTTTTGAGCATGTGCTCTTATCTGTGATGCTGCTTTGGAGAGAGGCGATTGTTGAGAAGGAGGGTTAAACAGATGGGACCTGGGTGGCCCTTGCTCTTGGCTGCTGAGCTGTGGGCCTGGCTGGTTGTTATAGCAGAGCTCAGAGTCTCTACGGAACACGTGTACAACAGTGGCTTCAGCCTGCTCAGTTTGTGGCCATTGATTCTTCTCACGGGTGGTGACGGGGGGACTGTCACCCCTCTGCAGGGATGCAGACTGGGCAGGGTGTTACACCGTCATCCTGGCTGTGCAGGAACGATCATGTTCCCGTTATCTCCGCTTGCTGAGTCACGGAAGCTCTCTGGATGCTAGTGGGAAAGTCTTGTTTGACTTAGAAATGAGGACAGCTACTTCAGCTTTTGTGACACTGATTTTTGTTTCCTCCCCTTGTGCTCACCTCCCTCTGAAGCCTTGATCCAGAGAACGACCCGCTGTGTGTGCTGCTGCTGATCGATTTTCTGTCCCTCCGAGCACGAGAATACACCTTCCTGACCCGCATGTTCCAGGAGGTGGAGGTGAGTTGCCAACAGGCTGCCCTGGCGAGAGATGGGGCAGAGAGGGGAGAGCTGGTTCCTGGGGCTCTCCCCACCTGGGCTGACTGGAGGGGACGGAGCATGAGCTTTTCTTAACCAGCTTAGCCCTTTGAGGGCTGTCTCACGGCCAGGCTGGCATCCCAAAATCATCAGAATGACCCGTAAAGGCCAGGGTGTTTGTTCTTGTAATCCTGGTACCCTGCAAACAATTGTATGAACTCAAAATTGCTTACTCAGTTGTGGGGGCACCAAGCCAATGGCTGGGAAGTAATTTAATCCAGCAGGCAAGAAACCCCACCCTGTGTGCAGCCCAGCCGCATCGAGATTGTTCTACATAGCATCATTTCTCGGTAAATCTGTCTCTCTGATCCTGCAGAGTCACCGGAATTTGTCCCAGCTCCCCAATTTTGCCTTCTCGGTGCCGCTGGCCTATTTCTTCCTGAGCCAGCAGGAGGAGCGCTCGGAGCTGGAGCTAAGCCAAGCCCGGGAGAAAGCCGCCCGGCTCATCCAGCTCGCGTTGATCATGTTCCCAAGCGGTAAGTCTGTCCCCACCGGTAAGTCCGTCCCCGCAGGCTTTGTCACTGTCTTCATCTGTGAGAGCGGAGGCTGGATTCCAGGCAGTCAAATGCAGAGGCAGCAGTTTGCCTGTGGGTTGCAAATGGCGTTTGCCTCTGTTTGTGGGAGACGGGAGCCCTGACTCAGAGGGTGAGGCAGCTCGGGCAGACCGGCAGCAGCAGGTACTGCCGTACCTGCGTCTGGTGTGGTGGTGGTGGGATTCAGCCTTCCCGCACCGTGGCAGGGACGGCAAGAGAACAGCGGAACCGGGTAGGGCCCCCACAGCCATGAGCCCTCCATGTGTTAGGAGGAGATCGGCGACTGTTCTCCCTGCTGTGCACCCTCCTCGGAGCAGCTGATGCCCCTTCATTAGAGATGGTCACGGGCGTGCAAGTTGGGGGAGGATGAGAACCAGAGTCTTAGAGCAGGAAAATGTTTCACCCCAGGCTTGGCCAGACCAGAGACAGTGAGTCTCTCATGGCTTTCCCTCCGAGGCACTGCTCTGCTTTAGATGTCCTCTCTATGGGCGCCCATCACTCTTGCTTTCATCCAGTTGGTGCTGCTGTCCATGAAAGGAGATATACAGCCCCTCTGGGCGCAGAGGAGGGTGTGTCCTTGTACGCAGGAATAACCAGCTCTCGAACAGAGGTTCAGTTTGTGTTGGCCGAAACCGTCTTTTTTGCTGCTTGTCATGGTGACTGAAATAAAACCCTTGTTCAAGTTCAAAGGCCAGCAGCATTAAGTGCAGAAAATTGCACCTTATTTCACTGGGGGAAAAAAAAAGTTTGTTGTTCTTTTTAGTTTACTTTGGGTCTGTTTCCATCATCCACGCAGAGATCAAAAGGCAGCATAACCCCCAGCACCATCCTCACGCCCTTCTTGCGCGGGTCCTCCTTTGGCACTCCGGTGGGATGCGCGCCTCCGGGATGGGGCTGTCTCTCTGCAGCCCTGGCAGGGGTGACTGGCCACACCGTGGTGCTTCTTGACGGGCTATTGAAAGCGAGCTGTCTGACTTTCTCCTGCAGTTCTTATGCCGTTGTTGGATCACTGCAGTGTGCAGCCTGATGCCAGGGTTGCGTCCCATTCCTTTTTTGGGCTGAATGCTCAGATAAGGTAAGCCCCGGAGATGTTCTCAGTAAAGAGAAGGAATCGATTTTGCCGGTAGTGGGGCTTTTGCTTGCTAAGGCAGCTAATGGAGGTACAAAGCAGTGGAGGAGAATATTTGGTTTTCCTGAGTAGGCTGTTAGATGCTTTGATAACGGATTTCCATAATGGCCACCAGATAATGCTAATAGAGCCGCCTCACCTTAATGTGGACGGGTCAGAAGTTCATACTGAAGCTTGTTGGTACATGTAGTAAGAGAGAACAACATGTGCCTACTCTCAGGGCAGGCTGTCTCCTACCAGTCTGGATTTCCCTGACACGTGGTCCTCCTGAACAAGCAAATGGTCTCCCCCTCGGGTCAAGGCAGCGTTAACTTTCATCTCATGGCTATGCTTATCCCAAAAATAGATGGAGGCAGAAAAACTGGTGAAGGTAGATGGAAATAGCAAAGCAGGGAGCCTGCGATTCCTCTCTTTGTGTTCTCACGCCAAAGCACAGTGCAGAGACGAGCCCTTGCCAGCCAGCGCAGGGACCTGCAGGCGGGAAGGAGGAGAGTGCCCTGAATAACAACTGTCTCCCGTAGTCAGCCTCCCGCCTTGAACCAGCTGACGTCCCTCTACGTGGGAAGGACTCACTCCCTGTGGAAGGACCCAGCTGTCATGGCGTGGCTGGAGCCCAACGTCCATGAGGTGTTGCGCTTGGTGGATGCCCGGGACCCGCTGGTGGAGGAGTCTGAGCACAAGTGAGTGTGGCAGGCGGAGGTGAGCGGTTCTTGTACCAGGCATGGGTGCGGAAGCAGGGGGACAGAGTGGGTTGGGGGGCTCTGCAGACGAGAGGAGCTCTGTCCTGAGCAGCAGCAGCAGCGCTGGGGCCTGCTCAGAGCCCCACAACTACCCATCTGAGGGGTGGCTGCTGATGCCAAGGGTTACACCGTGGGACCAGGAAGGCAGAGGCTCTTCCAGACTTTTCACAAGCGTGAATTAAAAGCTGTAGCTTTTGCTCACTGGGGAGTGTGTGCTACGCTGGCTGGGAGGGGCAGGGATAGCTGCACGGCTCGCAGGCAGTTATTGCATAGGGCAGGTGAGGGCTTAGAAGCACCTTCCAGCTCCGAGAAGTAGGAGAGGGGGCCGTTAGGTCTTGTCCTAAACCAAAGTTAGTTTGCTCTGCTGACCTACAGAGGAATGGGGCTGGTGAGAGAGATCTGTGCGGTGTCCCTGAGCTGTTCTGCTCTTTCATCTGAGGTCAGCAGCTGCCAAGTGACTTTGGCTTCGCCGTAGGCCAGCTCTGTCCGATACAGCGCACCCCCTCAGAGCCAGAGATGAAGCTGACGATGCACCTAGAGAAGCAGAAATGGAAAGCTGGCTGTGCTGAGGTGTGCTAGGTGCAATCCTCTGTTTCCCTCTCTGCTGTAGGAGAAAGACGCTGTACCAGAACGCACCCAGGAATATCTACCGGCACATCATCCTCTCGGAGGTGAAGGAGGCCATGGCAGCTCTGCCTCTGGTGAGGGGCCCTGACAGGGCACAGGCAGTGCTGCTCTGGTGCGGCGTGATGGCACTTGTGTCCCTGCTGTGCATGTGGACGCTGCGCACGTCTTAAACCCCAACCACCAGCAAGAAACACCCACCTGACCTCAAAATTGTCCTCCCTCTATGCACGGCTTCCTGGGGCTGCACACAGGGGCATGTGTGGGCAGCCCAGGCTGCAGCCGGTGCCCGGCTGTGTTGTGCTGCTCGAGACAAAGGGCTCTCCAACTGGTCTGACCTCCTCCGTGCTTCGGTGTTAGCTGCTGCTGGTGACTTAGCCCTCACCCCATGTTTCTTCTCCCCACCCGCAGGAGGTGACCTCGCAGCCTGTGATGGGGTACGACCCCTTGCCTCCTTTGGACTCCATCGTTTCCTACACCAGACCAGAAAGGTACCTTCTCCACCCCTCGTTTCTGCGCTGGCACAGCCGGCGTGTTCCCGGCGCGCCCTCAGCCCCGGGCCTGGGTGCATGTGGGAGCTCAGAGCTGACGTCCTCCTCCATCCCAGAGGAAGAGCCGCCTGGCTTGTGGTGCTCGCCGACAGGCAGAGTGTACAGGCAGGACTGGTCTTGCTGCTTTTCCTTGATGGTCACCGTCGGAGACGGCAGCTGTTCACAGCCCATTAAAGCAAAGGCCATTGAAAAATTTTGGCTGTTTCTTACCTGAGGTGGTTTGGGGTAAATACAGGTTTAAGCGCAGCCAGCTGTGGTGCGCACAGACCGTTTGGGTGAAGCCCATACGTGTCTTACACACTGACCCAGCTCAGAGCGAACCTGGCAGTGCTTTTAATGACTGCTTTCACCAGAGGCTGGTCAGCTGCTGGCTGCCTGGGGTAGGAAATCCCCGAGAATACCCCAATACCCTGATTTGGGGCTGGCTTGGGAGGAGCTGTGCGTTGGTCTGGACAGCAGGGTTCTCTCCAGCATCTCTGCGCTGTCTCAGCCCCAGTGAGAGGCCGAGTACCAAGCTGCCCCCTTAACCGTGCTGTGACTTCTGTCTTTCAGAACGAATCATCCATCCAATGAAAGCACTTTATCTCTCTTCTTC